GGTACTCGCACACCATTCCTGAAACAGAGAGAACAAGGGCGTTAGCGACAATTCAGCAGTCGGCAGCAGCAGAGACAACATCGGCAGCAGCAGAGACAACATCGGCAACAGCACAGACAACATCAACAGCAGGAGAAACAACATCGACAGCAGCACCGACAACAGCAGCAGCAGCAGAAACATTAACACCAGTCATCGGTCCTTCAATGGCACAGCCCTTCATCAACGAGACGCCGCCGACACCGGCGCAGCAGCTCAACCCGGCACCACGGGAAGTTCACAGAAGCGCGAACATCATCGCCGGCTTCTACTCCAACTCCGACATGTACCGACGCTCGCCAGGACACCGCGCCAACGAAGAAACCTGGCACGCAAGAATGGGACACCCAAGCAACACAGTATTAAACAACACGATAAGAGCTGGAGTACTTGACAAGGATTCACTCTTACTGACCGACGGCAGAGAACTTCAGCGAGCTCGAGGAACGTGCTTCACCTGCCCCGAAGCTGACTTACCGCATCAGCCCTTCGTTTCGCATCACAACCCAAGCGCACCTGCATATGCACCACTCGAGAAAGTGTACAGCGACATCTTGTACAACCGCGAACCCGGACAAAACGCGTATAACTACACCATCACCTTCATCGACGCCGCTACACGTTACGTCTGGCACCTAAACTTACCAAGTCGCGACATGGCTTTCGAGGCTTTCGTGGCATGGCTTCCAGCAGCAGAACGGGAATCGGGAGCTAAGCTCAAAAGTTTCCAATCAGACGGAGGAGGAGAATACTCGTCACAGCGGTTCAAGCAGTATCTGGCGGAGAAAGGAATCAAGAGACTCATCTCCCTTCCCTACGCCCATCAACAGCAGGGTGTAGCAGAAAGGATGAACAGGACTCTGCAGAACACCATGCGCAAACTGTTACGTGGCATGCGGCTACCCAACCACCAGTGGCCCGAGGCAATGGACCACGCCGTGATGCTGCACAACTTGCTTTCTTCGTCGTCACTCCCGAACAACACATCACCGCATCTGCTGTGGACAGGGAAACTGGGCAGCACAAAAATGTTACGAGTCTTCGGCTGCATGGTACAGTACCGACCCCCATCTGCACGAGCCGGCCGATTCTCCCAACGGGCACAGTGGGGACTACACCTGGGCATCGAAAAACATTACAACGCGTGGAAAATCTTCGACATCCACACCAAGGAAACAGTAGCAGCACGTGATGTCATTTTCTACGAACGGCTCACACTGCCAACATACCTTGCCAACCTGGACGAAAATCGAGACCCCACAGGTGGCTTCCGTGGCGATCGAGCCTTCGCTTCGGCAGAAGACGAAGCTGACTGGGACGAGCAGAACGTGGAAGGAGCCTCGGAAGAAGCCGGACCTCTTCCCTACTGCTCAGTGGACGTACCGATGGACGAAGATAACCCTCGCGAAAGCGTCAACGCCGAAACCTACTACCACTTCGCCGACAACGGTTACGTTACACCTGCTGAAGTCAACACCAACGAAGCAGAACGCATAGGGCCCAACTTCGCACCTGATCCAGAAGCTGGAGACGAGGCAGTCTATCCCGAGGACACCACACTCCCCCGCTACACACAGAGTGGACTCCAGATACTCGGGATCATCACCGCAGTCCACGGCGCCGCCATTCCTAAAGAGCCTGCAACGATTCAGCAGGCTCTGGGGGGGGAACACAGGGAAAAATGGCGTGAAGCCATGGACAAGGAGCTGAAAGCGCTAGAAGAACGCAACACCTGGAAAATCGTTCCTATCGGTGTAGCACGAAACAAGACCATTCTCACCGGAAAATGGGTCTTCCGCGTGAAGACGAAAGCAGATGGCACCATCGACAAATTCAAGGCGCGCTGGGTCGTACGTGGCTTCGACCAAGAGCACGGACGCGACTTCACCGAAACCTTTGCTCCGGTCAGCCGACACACCTCACTACGCATTCTCCTCGCAATCGCCGCCATGAAGAAGAAAAAGCTACGACAAATCGACGTCGCAAACGCCTTTCTCTACGCACCTGTTGACGCAGAAATTTTTGTGGAGCTGCCGCACGGCTCCAACACAGACTCCACGCATGTCTGCCAGCTGCTCAAGTCGCTTTACGGGATCAAACAGGCCCCGCGACTATGGCAGCAATACCTGCACGCTCGTCTCATCCGCATCGGCTTCAAGCAACTCCCGCACGACCAAGGCATGTATCGACTCACTAAGAACAACGACTACGTCCTGTTAATCGTCTACGTGGACGATCTCCTCTACATCGGGTCAACCGACGGCATCGCAACCTGGTTCGAAGGGGAGCTGCAGAAAGACCTCACACTCACTGTCTCGTCTACCGTCACTCAGTATCTCGGCCTCAACATCCGAGAAGAAGAAGATGCGATCTATCTCAGCGCCGAGAAATACGCCGACACTATCGCTAAACGCTTCGCTCTCACACCAGCCGCCATCTCCACGCCATACCGCTACACGACAGGAACCGAGAAGGGACGATCCACTCTACTCAAACCAGCCGGCATACGCGACTATCAGAGGAAGCTCGGATGCCTCCTCTTCGCAGCCGTCACATGCCGTCCCGACCTCTCATACTCCGCAAGTCAACTCGCCACCTACCTCAAGAAGCCTGAAACAGAACATCTGGCGGAACTTGACCGCGCTCTTCACTACTTCATCAGCACCGCGACGATCGGCCTAACCTACCACAAGAACGCAGCTACACCAACTAAGCTAATCGGCTATGTCGACGCCGATCACGCCGGCGACTCCGACAACAGGCGCTCACGTACCGGCTACGCCTACCGCCTCGAACCTATCGGACCTATTTCCTGGCAGTCGAGCAAGCAGGAGTTAATCGCGCTATCATCAGCTGAGGCAGAATATATCGCACTCTGCTCAGCCACCAAGGAAGGCCTTTATCTTCGCGAGCTGCTGGAAGAAGCAAAGTTAGCTGAGTTACCCAACTTCATCCTGTTCTGCGACAACCAATCTGCAATTCGCATCGCCAACAAGAACGGCTTCGCGAACAGGACGAAACACATCGCCCTGCGCTACTTCTTCGTGAAGGACGAGATCGAGAAGGGGAGACTTCAGCTGTCATACTGTCCCACGTCCGAGATGGCAGCCGATTATTTGACCAAGAAACTCGGAAAGCAGAAATTCGAGTACTGCATGCTGCTGACTGGACAGAGCCACGTCATCAGCAACGACACTCCAGAAGCGAAGGGGAGTGTTGGAAACAGTGAATCTTAAGCGCTTCAGTCGTGTCGAAACATCGCACCAGAAGCGAAGCAAGCTGTATCGAAACAAACGCGAGTCAACCTTCGGAGGTTGAGAAGTTGCCGGAGGTTACGCGAAAGTCAAAGGTCAAGCGACCTTTGACCTGACAAATACAGCGCGACAGTTAAGGACACACAACTGACTCGTTACAGAGCAGTTGCCCGAGTCGTACTGTATCGAACCGCAACAGCAACAGTAAAGTAGTTACAAACTGCATCCTTTCATATTCCTTGTATTATTATATAATCTTGTACTTCCTTGCTATAATCAATCTACTTTGCCCTCATATACCAGCGCAAGGTGGTTCACAAACTTTGTTAAACGCTTCCGCTATTACAACACTATCCCACCCAGAGTTCTCCCTTGAAAAGATCCTAAGGGGCTATCTCAGCCCAACATAACCTAGCAGCTTCATAAAAAAGGGCCTTTCCCCAGCAAAAATCCTAGTTGGATTGCCGCAGACGGTGTGCACAGGGACTGCACGTGTCCCCGTGCATCTGAGAGTTTTTTGTATCGCCTTCAGAGTACGTGTATCTCACCACACCAGTCATCACTCATGCACGGAAAGCGCACAGGAGCTCTAATGAAACCTGGAAGTAGCACTTGTTGGGCTGCCGCAGGTAGTGCACGTTGCCATGCATCTGGGTGGAGCATCACACCCGTCAGCACCACTCAGCACCACTCCCCACCACTCACGCGCGAGGCGCACAGGGCAGCTCTAGTGACACCTGGAAGTAGCACTTATTGGGCTGCCGCAGGTAGTGCACATCGCCATGCATCTGGCGCAGCAGCGAGCGGTACGAGACGAGTGCATGCGCCTGGTACGCCGCCTCAGGTGAATCCTCAGGGCACGAGGCCAGGCCGAACATGTGCTGGATTATGGCATCGTCGATTCCCGGCCCTGATTGGATGATGCTGTGGGGGCAGGAGACCGGGGAGGAGGCAGGGGAGGGAGAACGGAGGGAAAAAATGAGAGGTGAGGATTGAAGGATGTTGAAGCACACAATAGGATGAAGCTTTCTGGAAGTGCGATGAAGAATGTGATTACAGTTCATCACAAGAGCAATGGGTGGGAAGAGTGAAAGGGAAAAGGGGGAAGAGGGGGGGAGTGCAATCCTTCTTGAGAAACGCTGCTGTGAGCTATCTGGTGCAATCCTCCTCTACCTGGCCCCCCCCTCACTCCCCATCCACCCCATTCCGCATCTCCAGACGACAAACACCAGACCAGACCCCCCACCCCTTTTCTCCTTTTCCCACCCCCAGATTCCCCATCTCGAGTCGTATTCCGCACTTCCCGTGTTCCCCTCTTGCTCCACCACCCCCCTTCGCCCCTCCACTCCCCCTCGCCCCACCACTCACTGCAGCTCGATCTCCACAGGCAGCATGCGGCTGGGGCTGGGAGCCAGCTGCACCGCCAGAACCACCAGCACCCTCAGCCTGTTCAACCATTCCCCCTCACCCCACCTCTCCCCTCGACCCGCCAACCCCCCCAACTCGCCCCACCACTCACCGCAGCTCGATCTCCACAGGCAGCATGCGGCTGGGGCTGGGAGCCAGCTGCACCGCCACAATCACCAGACTTCCCAGCCCGTTCCACCACACTCCCCCCGCCCACCACCCCCCACAACTCGCCCCACCACCACTCACCACACACCACCACTCACCGCACACCACCCCTCACCGCACACCACCACTCACCGCAGCTCGATCTCCACGGCCAGCATGCGGCTGGGGCTGGGCGCCAGCTGCAGACAAACGGTGCCGGCCGACGGGGTGGACTTGACGGCCGCTACAGTGATGCCGCCCAGCACCTGCTGCAGCAGCAGCTGGTTGCCCACGAGGCGCGTGGACGCGACATCTGGCAGCGCGTCATAGGTGAGGTCGATGGAGCGGCGAATGGCGTGCTGCATGGCTTGGCAGACGGCTGTGTTGATGAGAGAGGCCATGGTGAAGGGCGCTGAGGGCGTGAATGGTAGCATGCTGGGAAGTGAAGGGGGTTGATAGGACAGAGAGGGAACAGAGGGTGGAGGGCGGGGCGGAAGGGGGGTTGATTGGAGACTGGGGTTGATTGGAGACTTGACGTGGGTTTTGGGTGACAGGAAGTGAAGGTGAATGGCATGCTGCATGGCCTGGCAGACGGCTGTGTTGATGAGGGAGGCCATGGTGAAGGGCGCTGATGGCGTGAATGGCAGCATGATGTGGGCGTGCATACTTCATAGCTCACTCCATAGCTCACTACCATACATCCATTCATGTATAGCCACCTCACAGCACACCTGCATAGCTAGAACAACGCCTGTTCACAACATACCTGGGGTGCGAGAACACTGCAGCATCACTGCTGCCGCCGCCACCCTCCCCACCGCCCAGCGGGTCCATCTGAGTGTGCAGCAGCCTACCACCATACACAACTGCACGCATGCACAATTCACAACATACCTGGGGTGTGAGAACACAGCCGCATCACTCCCGCCGCCGCCGCCCTCCCCACCGCCCAGAGGGTCCATCTGAGTGTGCAGCAGCCGCATCAGCTGCGCATCACACCGCGCCATCGCCTCCATAAACTGCCAAACCTTGCCGGCCGGTGCGGCGGCGGACGGGGCGGCGTGAGCGGAGGGCGAAGGGGGGGCGGCTTCGAGGAGGGAGCGGTGCAGCAGGGAGCGTGCATGCACCATGCCGTGCACTGCCCCTGCCATGGCCTGCCTCACGTAGGCTAGTTGTTTCGAGTGACGTTCTATCAGCTGAGGGTGCGTGAGGGGGAAGGGATGGTGGTGTGTGGAAGGAGAAGGGAAGGAAGCGTGGAAACCAAAAGGTCAGTCAAAAGGGAGTCAGAAAGGGAGCGGTGCAGCAGGGAGCGTGCATGCACCATGCCGTGCACTGCCCCTGCCATGGCCTGCCGCACATAGGCTAGCTGCTTGGAGTGGCGCTCTATTAACTGATGGGTGGTGAATGGGGGAGAGGGGGAAACAGAGGGTGGGTTGGTGGTGTGTGGAAGGAGGAAGGGAAGAAGTGTGTAAAAGAAACAGAGTGAGTTAAAAGGGAGTCCGAAAGGGAGCGGTGCAGCAGGGAGCGTGCATGCACATGAAAACATTCCCCTCAACCCAATCCAGCCCAACCTCCTTTCCTCATTCACCCCCTGCCCGCTCTTCGTTTGTCTCACCTCCTCCCCCTGTTCTTCCACTCACCCCCTCTGCCTTCTGCTGCGCGGCCAGAGCCTGTATGAGGTCAGGGCTTGCCACATGCACACTTGGTCATGGGCTTGTTTCTCCCTTCCCCACCCTCCCCACAGCTTCTCCCACTCTCATTCGTTCCACTCTCCCCCTCTTCCTGTTCTTCCACTCACCCCCTCTGCTTTCTGCTGCACGGCCAGAGCCTGCATGAGCTCAGGGCTTGCCACGTGGAGGAATCCAAACGCCCCTGCCGCCCGCCCGTCTCCGCCCTGCCGCTGCTGCACCGTCAACAACACCTCCACCATGCGACCCTGGAAAAGGGAGGGGAGTGGGGGTGTGAAGGAGGGTAGAGTGGGGGTGTCAGCTGCTGCACCGTCAGTTGTACCTTCATAAGACGACCCTGGCGCTTTTGGTCATAAGAAGAGGGATGGAGGAAAAGGTAGGGCGGTGGGAGAAGAGAGTGTGGGGAAGGGTGGAGGGGCAGGAAGAATACATGGGAGACAGAATCACAGAATACAGGGGGGAGCTGTTGATGTGAAGTTGAGTCAGACAGCAAGAAACTGGCTATATGTTCTCAAGATGTGGATGCATGAAATAAGGCAAGTTCTCTACCTTGGCATTGCGGAAGGAAAAGTGCGTCTTCTCCTCCCCCCCCGCGTCCTGCCCCGCCATGGCCCGCGACAGCATGATGAGCAGGCGCGTGAGCGAAGGTAGGGAACATGCGTTCGTATGCATCTAATCCAGAAGGAATTTTCCGTTTCCCCTACCTTGGCGCTGCGGAAGGCGAAGTGCGCCTCCTCCTCCTCCTCCTCCCCAGCGTCCTCTACGACCATACTGAGGAGAGGAGGTGGGTGCATCTGGTTGAGAAGGCCCCACGCATCCCCCCTCCTCCCTACCCTCCTCCCTCATGCCCACGTGAACCGCAAAACACTAACTGCCGACCTCCCCACCTTGGCGTTGCGCAAGGCAAAGTGCGTCTTCTCCTCCCCCCCCAGCGTCCTGCCCCGCCATGGGGAAGAGTGGGTTGAGGCATCTGACTGGGAAGGCCATCGCACCTCCCCTGAAGTTTCCTCGTACTCACAAACACCATCTGACCACCTCCCCACCTTGGCGTTGCGCAAGGCAAAGTGCGTCTTCTCCTCCCCCCCCAGCGTCCTGCCCTGCCCCGCCATGTGATGACCTGGATGCAGAGAGAGTGGTGGCATGTGGTTGGGAAGGCCCCACGCACACACCTCCTTGAACCTCCCGTGAACTGTGAACCATTAGCTCCCCTCCTCCCCACCTTGGCGTTGCGCAAGGCAAAGTGCGTCTTCTCCTCCCCCCCCGCGTCCTGCCCCGCCATGGCCCGCGACAGCATGACGAGCAGACGCGTGAGCGAAGGACGGGAAGGGAGATGGTGCTGCTGCTGTTGAATCAAACAGCATGACCCTACCTTGGCGTTGCGGAAGGCAAAGTGCGTCTTCTCCTCCCCCCCAGCGTCCTGCCCCGCCATGGCCCGCGACAGCATGATGAGCAGACGCGTGAGCGAATCGTCGTCCGCCAGCTGGCACATGCGGCCAAAGATGATCCCCGGGAGCATGCAGCCCAGCACCTGGGTGGGTGGATGGGGGAGGGGGAGTGGGGGAGGAAGAAGGTGGATGGGGAGAATTGGGGATATGTATCGTCGTCCGCCAGCTGGCACATGCGGCCGAAGATGATCCCCGGGAGCATGCAGCCGAGCACCTGAAAGGGTGGATGGGGGAGGGCGAGAGGGGAGGGTGAGTGGGAGAGAGTGAGAGGGAGAGGATGAGTGGGAGAGGGTGATTGGGAGAGGGTGAGTGGGAGAGGGATGTGGGAGAGGGATGTGGGAGGGAGGTAGGTGGGGGAGGGTAGGAGGGGAGGAGGGGAGGAGGGCGGATACGGGGCAGAGGAGAGAAGGGTGGGTTTGATGGTGACAGAATGAACAAGGAGAGCCGACAGGAGCAGGGAACGAAAGCAAGGGGAAGGAGGAAACGCAAATTAGGAAGACCAGGAGGCAATGGGGAAGATCACAATTGTGAGAGCAGAGGGCATGCCTGAGCGGGGAGAATACAGTGGGGAAAATGCACACCTCGGAGCGTTTGAGACCGGTAATGCTCTCCATGGCTGGGTTCCACTCGGTGCAGAAGCCAGATGCTGGGGTTGGGACGGGTTGAGAAGGGCACGGGCGGTAACCGGGTGGGTGGGTAGGCAGTAGCATGAAACGGGATGGCAGCAGCGGCAGCAGAGGCAGCAGATTGTTGGGGGCTTTAAGTGAAAACAAAGATTGGTGGAGGGATGGAATTTGAGGGGGATGAAAGGGAAAGGGTAAGTGTCGTGGTATGTTGAGAAGGCAAGAGGGAAAAGAGGAGGTGGGGTTTAGGTCATAGGCGAGACTCACTGCAGGCGGCAAACTGACCCACGCGAGGGGGCAAGGGAAAGTTGGGCGGCGAAGTGACTCACCGTTGGTGGCAAAGATGGGCGGCATGAGGGAGTTGTGCGTGTTGATGATGGTGGTGGGTGAAGTTGTCCTTTGGGGCGCCTCAAGGGTCACCATAGGTAGCAAAGATAGGAGGCTAAGTGACTCACCGTTGGTGGCAAAGATGGGTGGCATGAGGGAGTTGTGCGTGTTGATGATGGTGGTGGTGAAGTCACCTTTTCAGACGCCTCAAAACCTGCCATCGGAGGCTGATATGGATGGCAATCTGACTCGCCATTGGTGGCGAAGTCGCCTCTTGAGTCGCCATCTTCAAAACTCACCGTTGGTGGCGAAAATGGGCGGCATGAGGGAGTTGTGCGTGTTGACGATGGTGGTGGGTGAAGTTGTCCTTTGGGGCGCCTCAAAAGTCACCATAGGTAGCAAAGATAGGAGGCTAAGTGACTCACCGTTGGTGGCAAAGATGGGTGGCATGAGGGAGTTGTGCGTGTTGATGATGGTGGTGAAGTCGCCCTTTGAGTCGCTTCAACACTTGCCATCGGAGGCAGATATGGGCAGCAATCTGACTCACCGTTGGTGGCAAAGATGGGCGGCATGAGGGAGTTGTGCGTGTTGATGATGGTGGTGAAGTCGCCCTGAATGCGCACGAATCGCGTCCTGACAGCTGTCTCCTCCGTCACGTCCTGCCCCACGAAGCACACCCCCACGATGCTCTTCTCCGAGTCCCGGCTCACAAACGTGTTCACCTGCAAATTTCCCAGGGGTGGAAAGCGGTGGAGTACAGTGCGGTGGGTTGGGTGAGGGGTGGAATTGGACGGAATGAGGTGAGGGTTGGTGAGGTAGGGGGATGGAGTGGATAAGAATGGGGTGGCGTGGCCTGGTGGGCTACAGAGGCATCACAAGCAAGATGGATGGCGTGGGTTGTGAACTTATCATAAATAGCAAAGCAACATGGTTCAGGCGAGCCTTTAGGCGCGTAAAAACCGTCTCAATTGCGTACACGCAATGTGGGTGGGGAGTGGCACTCACGTGCAGGATGGCGTAGGGAGTGGGAGGGCCCTTGCCCTTGGGAACCGAACCCCACCGCTTCAGCTTCAGCTCCAGCTGCTGCTGCTCCTCCCCTGCATTTCCACATGCATACCCATGCCCAAGCCCATTCGTGGATGCAATACCATGTGTGCATACGCATAGGGAAAGGCATGAGGGATGGCTGCCATTTGCTTAACCTGACTAGGCCACGCATCTTCAGTTGCATGTCACCTCCACTCAACATGTTCACCATTTTGCACGAGCCTCGAGTGAAAGCCAGAAATGGGGGGAAACGGATGGAAGTGGGGAGAAGAGATAGGAGGGTTGGTGGAGAAGAGTGGAGGGAGACAAGGCAACCAATCACGTTTGACTCCGCTGCTCTCACCTGCCAGAGCAAATTATTTTTTGAGCGAAATGACTCAAAGTTCGACTTTTACCTGCCAGGGCGAGCTCAAACGCGGTCCTCGTTTTGTCCACACACGAGGGGTCAAGACAGGTGTCGAGCAGCGATTGGCCGATGGCGTCGGAGAAGGAGAGGCCTGTGACGGCCGCCACCTTGCCGTTCCACCCCGTGATGTTGCCCTCCAGATCAACGGCCAGGATCGGCGCAGACGCCGTCTCGATCAGACGGACCAGCTCGTCCGCTGCCACTGCCAGCTCGCTGGTATTCTGGAGAGGGGGGAGGGTTGAAAGAAGGTGGAAATGGAAAAGGGTGGAAAGGGGTGAAAGGGTGTGGAAATGGAAAGAAGTGAAAAGGGTCGAAGTGGGGCTGAAATGGAAAGGGGTGAAAAAGGGGTGAAGGGGGGTGAACGGGGGTGATGGCTGCAATTGTCAGCACATTGTTGTTCCCTGCCGCAAAACTCTCTCACCTGCCCTCTGCCCGCATCTGTCTGCCCATGGAGAAGAGGCGTCCCATGCTCTCCTTCCTCCGCCCATGCACTTGCACAAGAGGTCCTGCAGGCTGTGAACGACGCTCGGGGGTGCTGCTGCTAGTTTTGAGGCGCCTCAAAACTAGTTTCGGGGGTGCTCGCTGGAATGTCTGAATCTACCCATGCACTTGCACAGCAGGTCCTGCAGGCTGTGAACAACGGCGACGCTTGGGGTTGCTGCTGCTGCTGCTGCCACTACTCCACTCTAAAGGAGCCTAGTGCCCCGTCTCAACTCAGCAACCAGCGCTCCCGTCTCCCAGCAGGTCCTGCAAGCTATGAACAGCATCCACCTCCACGTCGGCCCACGGCAGCGCCGTGTGCCGCACCACCTCCAGGAACGCCTTGAAGGACGCCCTCGGGTGGCGCTTCTGTTGCTGCCCCTACCGGTTTCTACTGGTCTCTCAAGGCCTTTCTGAAGCGGTTACAGATCTCACCTGCTTGCCCATGGAGATGAGGCGGCCCATGCTCTCCTTCCTTCTAACAGACTTGCACAACAAGTCTTGCAGGCTGTGCACAGCATCCACCTCCACGTCAGCCCACGGCAGCGCCGTGTGCCGCACCACCTCCAGGAACGCCTTGAACGACGCCCGCGGGTGGCACTGGCCCTACTGCTCTCTACATGAATCCCCTGAGGCGGTTCTAACCAGCAACCAGCACTCTCCTGCCAGTCTGTCTCACCTGTTTGCCCATGGAAATCAGCCGGCCCATGCTCTCCTTGCGCCGAACCGACTTGCAGAGCAGGTCTTGCAGGCTGTGAACAGCATCCACCTCCACGTCCGCCCACGGCAGCGCCGTGTGCCGCACCACCTCCAGGAACGCCTTGAACGGTGATGCTCCCCTCTCTGCTGCCACCCCTACCGGTTTCTACTGGCCTGCAGCTCGTGGTGAAAAACAAGCAGCACTTTCCTGTCTCTTTGTGCCTCACCTGCTTGCCCATGGAAATCAGTCGCCCCATGCTTTCCTTCCTCCGCACCGACTTGCACAGTAAATCCTGCAGGCTATGCACCGCGTCCACCTCCACGTCCGCCCACGGCAGCGCCGTGTGCCGCACCACCTCCAGGAACGCCTTGAAGGACGCGCGGGGGTGGCGCTTCCTCGCATCGTCCACGTCGCGCGCGTCGTGCCGCGCGCCGCTCCACTTGATGGACTTCTCCACGTGCGAGCGGAACCAGAACAGGTAGTCCCCTGTCACGCCGCTCACGCTGCTGAAGCTCCCGCTCGCACCGCCCCACCCGCTGCCACCGCCGCCACTAGCGGTGCTGCCAGATGGGGACGGGGGAACCGGCGACGCCGCCTCCCTCCCCTGCTGCTGCCCCTGCTGCTTCTCCTGCTGCCGCTCCTGCTGCTGCTGCTGCTCGTCAGCAGGCGAGAAGCACACGACAACCATCCCGCAAACATCCACTCCAAGCGTATCGGCATACGGGAACCCAGCAGCCTTCAGGCTGTCCGTACTGAGCCCACTAGACCCTGAATGCTCCCTCTGTAACCACCGCACGAGCTCCCCAATCATGTCCTCAGAGGGGCAGACGCCGAGGCGGGAGAGCTCCCCGCGGAAGAGCACTGCTGCGCCGTCGCAGGGGAGGAGGTCCATGATGTTGGGCGCGGAGGACACGAGCGCGCGGATGGGGTTGTCCGTCAGGAGCGTATCGCAGAGGAGAGATTGGATCTGCAGAATCTGCTTCTCGTGCAGCTGGGCGGCGATCTCGAGTTCAACTGACAGCTGCAGGCCGAATGCCTGAGAGGAAGCAGGGGAGGGAGGGGGAGACGGAAGGACAGGAACGATTGATTGAGCCCACTGGACCCGCAGTGCTCCCTCTGCAACCGCCGCAGAAGCTCCCCAATCATGTCTTCGGACGGGCAGACGCCGAGGCGGGAGAGCTCCCCGCGGAAGAGCACTGCTGCGCCGTCGCAGGGGAGGAGGTCCATGATGTTGGGCGCGGAGGAGACGAGCGCGCGGATGGGGTTGTCCGTCAGGAGAGTGTCGCATAATAGGGACTGGATCTGCAGAATTTGTTTCTCGTGGAGTTGCGCAGCGATTTCCAGCTCCACTGAGAGCTGCAGGCCGAATGCCTGGAAGAAGGGGGGAGGAGGGAGGTGGGAGGGACGAATTGGAGTGGTGGGGAACAATTGAGGTGCCTTAGAAGTCAGCCCCACCACCAACGCACGGGAGGAGGTCCATGATGTTGGGCGCAGAGGACACGAGCGCCCGGATGGGATTGTCCGTCAGGAGAGTATCACAGAGCAGGGACTGAATCTGCAGGATTTGTTTCTCGTGGAGTTGGGCGGCTATTTCCAGCTCCACTGAGAGCTGCAGGCCAAACGCCTGGAAGACGGGGGGAGGAGGGATGTGGGAGGGACTAATTGGGATGGTGGGGAACAATTGAGGTGCCTTAAAAGTCAGCCCCTTCTCCAACGCACGGGAGGAGGTCCATGATGTTGGGCGCGGAGGAGACCAGCGCTCGGATGGGGTTGTCTGTGAGGAGAGTGTCACACAATAAAGATTGTCTGTGAGGAGAGTGTCACACAATAAAGACTGGATTTGGAGGATCTGTTTTTCATGGAGTTGGCCGGCGGTCTCGAGTTCAACTGACAGCTGCAGGGCGAACGCCTGGACGGGGAGGAAGCAGGGGAGGGTGGGAAGGGGAAGGGGTTTGGGAGGGGAAGACGGAAGGGGGGGTTCAGTTGAGGCGCCTTGGAGTGTCATCTGCGCAGAGGCAGGGAAGGAGGTCCACTCCCCCTCCCCCTCTCCATTCTCCCCCTCTTACTCCCCCGAACCCTCCCCTCACCTGCATGAGAAAGTCGCATGCAGAGCGGACGGGGAAGGGCACCACTCGGGGGGACATGTGATGACACACCACCAGCCCCCACAGCCGCACTCCCCCTCCCCCTCCGCCTCCGCCCCCTCCCCCTGACACGCTCCCCCCATCGTCCGACCGCATATCCCACGAATCTCCCCCTCCCCCCGCATCCCCCCCAGATGCACCCCCCAAGCCCGCGCCAGAGGAGGCACTGGTACTGCGGGCAAGAGGCACACCGCCCTGCTGCTTCCCCTGCTGCTGCTGATCCGACCTTCCCGCCCCTCCCCCTCCCCCTTCCCCTCCCGCTCCCCCCTGCTGACTCCCCCCGGACTGACTCCTCGCAAACTGCCCTCCCCCCGACTGCCCCCCCCCATGCCCGCCCCCCGCTCCTCCCCCCGGCTGCCCTAGAGCGTTCCCCCCGCGCGTGGGCACCATAATAGCAAGCACATACGACGCCCTGATCCCCATATTGCACATGTACTGCACGTGGCATGGGTCCACAGCTCGCAGGGTCGACCCCCCGAGCTTGAGGGGATGCGGGGCGGAGAGGGGGTGCTGGCGCAGGGGGATGGGGGGGGACTGGCAGTCGGCGACCATTCGGGAACGCGTCTGGAAGAAGAGCAGACGGGTGGCCTGAGGTACGTCCGTTGCTGGGAAGTGCGAGCCTAGAATCGGCTCCATGCCTCCTCCCTCTTCTGCACCTTCCTCCTCCTCCTCCCCCTCCTCCTCCTCCTCCCCTTCCTCCTCCTCCCCTTCCTCCACCTGCTCTTCTTGCTCCCCCTGCTGCTCCCTCTCTTCCCCTTGCCCCCCTTCTTCCGGCCCTCCCTTTTTCCCTCCCCCTCCCTTCTTCCGCCCCTTCCGCCTTTTCCGCATGTCTTCCGCGACCACCTCCCCATGGCCATCCTCATGGAACTTATAAGCCACCACGCGGTCGTACCCAGTCAGCTCTCTTACCTCCTCCACCACCACTTGGCACAGCGCGCTCACGTTCCCGGGGGCCACCTTCTGCAGCCGCTTCACAGCCGAGAGGGCTAGACGGTGGGTCAGAGGCGCGCCTGCCCCGTCCACAGCGGGATCCAGCGGTGTAATGGGTTCCAGATCGATACTTATGATGTTCTCTCCTGGGGTGTTGGTGGTAGGGCGGCTGCTTATGATGCTGCCTGGGTTCTCTCCTGGGTTGGTGGTGGTGGTAGGAGTGGTGAGGGTAAGGGCGGCGGTGGTGGTAGCGGCAGTGGGTATGGTGGCTGGGAGGGTGGAGACGGGAGACGAAGGGGTGGCAGTACCAGGGAGTGAGAGAATGCTGCTGCTGGTAAGGCTGGTAGGGATAATGCTGCTGCCGCTGGTGCCGCTGGTGCTAATGCCGCTGGTGCTGCTGGTGCCACTGGTGTTGGCAGTGTCTGCGTCGTCAGCAGCAGCGGAGGTGCGGTGGAGAACAGCGTAGAAGGGGCGGTTGGAGGTGCGGCACTGCAGCAGCACGGGGTTCATGGACGCTATGTCCTCTGCCGCCACTGCTTTTTCCAGCGCTTCTACGCTTTCTGGGGTGAACAGGCTCCGCACATCCATTCCCAAGGCTGGGGGGAGGAAGAGGGAGGGGGAGGGGGCAGGGGGAGGGGGTAGAGAAGAAGGGGCGGTTGGAGGTGCGGCACTGCAGCAGCACGGGGTTCATGGACGCGATGTCGTCTGCTGCCACTGCCTTCTCCAATGCCTCCACGCTTTCCGGAGTGAAGAGGCTTCGGACATCCATTCCCAAGGCTGCGGGGGGGGCAGAAGGAGAGACAAGGGGCAGGGCAGGTGAAGGAGGTAGAGCAGAAGGGGCGGTTGGAGTGGTGATGGCACTGCAGCAGCACGGGGTTCATGGACGCTATGTCGTCTGCTGCCACTGCCTTTTCAAGGGCCTCCACGCTCTCTGGGGTGAACAAGCTTCTCACGTCCATTCCCAAGGCTGGGGGGGAGACAGACGGAGGGGGAGGAAGGAAGAAGGGGACGGGGGGGGAGCAGGGGGTGGGGCAAGAAAATGGCGTAGAAAGGCCAGTTGGAGTGACGGCACTGCAACGCAGCAGCACGGGCCTTCCATGCCATGCCATGCCATGCCATGTCATGCCATGCCACGCCAGCTGCTGCTGCCACGGCTTGAACCGAGGCCGTTATGTGCTCTCCGGAGCAAGCCAGCTCTCCGCATCAGCACACCACTCCTGACACCTTTCAACCGTTGCACTAACCTATTTTCGTCTGGGGAAGCGGAGCAACAGCATCTGCTGCCTCTCCCGCTAGAGCGCTAGGAGCGGCTTCTTCCCCCAGTGTCTTAACTGCGGCTTCCTCCAGTCCGCGCCCCACGAATATGGCGCTGTCACTCACACTCGATGCGCCTCTGCCTCCCCTTCCGCCTCCGCCTGCCCCTCCGCCTCCGCCTCCATCTCTCTCTGCGCCCATTCCGCCAGCTGTTCCGGCATCCCCCCACCCGCCAGTGGCACTGCTTTCCACCCCCGCCTTCGCGTCGCTGCTTGCTCTCCCCGCTGCGCCAGCAGCTGCGGGCGCGGAGGACACGGGGGCGGCGGCATCCGCGGAGAGGCGGCGGGATCTCCTTGCGCCCTTGCCGCGGCCGCGGCTGTTGGAGCGGAAGATCGCCCAGCGGATGCGCTCCAGAAAGTTCAGAGCTGGAAGGATATAAGGAGCGGTTGGGAACGGTGGAGGGAGTACGCAAGGTGAGGGGGAGAAGGAGAAGGGGGAGGGGGAGGGTGCAAGGGGGAAGGTGACGGAGTGTGGCAGGGAACAGGGTGGGCAGGGGGAAACGGGGCGAAGAGGGAGGTAAGATAAGAGCTCGGGGAGAAGTGGTCAAGATACGGAATGGGGTGCAGCGGCATCCATGCATCAAAACGGACTGTGCTCAGGAGGAGACGAGGGGGAATGCAGGGGATGATGAGGTGGATAATAGGGTGCATGAGGAGTCGGGGGGGAAAAGAGGGACAGGTGCGGGAGGGGGGTGGGGGGAAGGGGGAGAAGGGGCGCATTACGTTTGAGCAGTGCGCTGCCTTCAGACGCCATTTTCACCAGCCGTCTTTTCTCGCCGCCGCTCGCCGCCGCTCCGCCCGCCGCAGATCCCGCTTCCCCCCTCCGGATCGCTTCCGCAGTCGGCGCCAACTCCGCCCCTTCAGGGATCGACTGCGACCGTCCGATCATCCCCGCCGCCGCAGATCCCGCTCCGCCCATGCCCGCATTTCCTGCATCCGCGGCGCCAGCGCCTGCGCCGGCCGCGGCCATTAACGGCGGCACCGCCGCCGCCGGTGCCGGCGGCGACTCGTTCAAGATCATCTGGCCGGCATTCTCGCTGAAAGCAACGAGATCGAAGCTTTTTCCGTCGCCGGGAATCGCGAGTAGGCAGCCGAAGTTCTGCACGAGGCCAGGCCGTTGGATGCGCTGCAGGTACGTCGAAACCGCGGCGCGATTCGCGGAGGGCGGCGCACCGCCCGCGGCGTGAACGAGGTCGACGGAGCGCCGCGAGCTGCGGAAGGTGACGCCGCCCGTGGAGGCCCAGAGGCGCGCGGCGGCGACAAACGACGAGTCCATGACCGTCGCCGATTTTTGAGACGCATCGAAAATCTCCGCCGCCGCCATTTCAGCGACGACGGTGCTGCGGGCAGTGAGCGGCTTGAGTGGTCAGGGAAAAAAAAAAAAAAACCTTCTGCTGAGTGTCGTCGGTTGGTGCGTGATTACTCGGCTGTGACCGTAACGAAGGAATGCAGTTGGCACGTGAAGAATGTAGGCTCGTGGGGAACGTAGGCCAGCTCGTGCTGGGAGAATTCTAGTCAAGCATACGCTTCTGCTCCTCACGATCGGACAGGTCGCTAAATACTGGAACGGGTCATCGGCAGCTTCACCGGGATACCGAAGGTGAGGAACTGTTGTTGAACGGAATGGTGTCACGATCCGATTCGTTGTATCATCCAACCAAGAAATGGCACCGCGGAATGACGTCACGGTGGCATGAATATCCTCTACGAACTCGAAGTTCCGAATAAATATTCCTCACAACTTGTTTGAGTAATGCATGATCGGCGGATAGCATTTGGTGCGGAGGTGGCCTATCAATTTACAGAAGACTTTGGCTGAGAGTCAAAGAGCTGATTGACATGCGCAAAAGGCTTCCGCGAATCTCACCAATCTTCGCTCGAACCTGTCATCGGCTACAGAAGGGATTTGTTCTGTGCGACGACGAAAACTGCCACTTATTCTCCCTTTGCTGTCAGCTTCACATAGCGCATCCAGGCATAAGCGTGAGAATGTAGATTCGTGCGTGCGGAAGGTCGTGCTAGGTGAATTCTGGTCAGGCGACCTGAAGACGGCGGGGCAGAGCGATCAGCACGCTAGCCGCTGACTGTTGACTAACATCACAACGATGCTCTAGCTTTCCGCTGCTGGAGTCAGCTGATCGGAATGCACCTAGACAAAATGCGCGAGTTATCGTTGAACAAGGGATAAGGAGCAACAGAACGGGGTGGTGGGAAGAGTCAGCATTTTTTGAACCCCCTGCTTTCCATATTCACTAGATAAGGCTTGAGAAAAAACGTGAGACAGAAGAGGATGGAGAATATCGCGCTTCGGATTCTAGCTGCTCAGCTGACGACATTGGTTGGGAAGTGTTCTTTGGGGGGGAAGAGGGGAGGAGCGTACAATCCCAAGGCGAGTCTGTGCGAGGGGAGGAGGGGGGTGTCTGTGGGGTCGGGTCTGGTCGGGGAGAGTTGGGGGGATAGAATTCAAAGATGACAGGATTCAAGCTAGACGACAGGAGTTTCACACTCGAGCTTTGATCTTTGAGAAACACGACAATTTCTGCCTTCCTCGATTTCATCCATCGCTCATCGGCTGGTCCACAAACTTGAGCTGTATTTGTTCGACGGTTGAGATGAATGAACGCCTAGGTCCGCTGGGCACTGCCCATTTGCCATCCCTCGTTACCCATTGCCCGGAAAAAAGCGTACAGATGAGGCTCACAGCGGCGAATATCCTTTTTTTTTTCTGTGAATGTTATTACACTATAATGGTGCATACATTCTCAGTCGTAACTGGCGGCGAATATCCTGAACATAGGAACTGTGAGTGAAGAGTCTGGTAACATCGAGCAGCCAAAACACGATGACCCTGTCTAAGACGGGAAACAGCTGGGAGAATCGTAGTGCATAACTAGCATAGCATTACGGAAATACTCTGCTATACTTGAGGTTCCCAAAAACACTTCGGTGTGGTGTACTCATATCAGCCATGGTCGAAGCCAGTTGGGGTGTGCCATGAAGCAGGTTCGAGCGCCATTCCCACGTCAGGAGTGTCAAGGTACACGTACGCGAAGTTCGCTGTAGCTGAGATGGCGAATTATGGCTGGGCATCCAGATTGTGGGGAGATTTGCGGGTACGAGCAGCGCATTGAGGAAATCAGACCCTTCAGTGCTACTATACATGAAACCCGTATATCTCGTTCATATCTACAGCTTATGCTGCCAAACCCGTATAGGAGCATTGTCTACATCACCCATTTATCACAACACCCTACCTATGCATCCACACGGAAGATCATGTAAACATTCTTGCATGTATTCTACGGGGCGGCTAGCAAGCTGTACCTCCGAGCGGACCCTTTCGTGGAGATCCACGCGTCGGCACCGGGATCGTGGCAGGAAGACCTGCTCGGCCCTTTTCTTTTCGCGTTCACGAGGCAGCATGTCATCGAGCCTGTTACTGGAGAGTTCAGGGACATACTTTTTCTGAGCTATGCGGACGATGCCTATATCTTGGGTCCAGCAGGTCGAATAATGAGGCTGCTTTTGGGATGTTGCGAGAGCGGTTAGAGCGGGTGCAGTTAAAGTTGCAGGGGCACAAGTGCCGGTTCTTGGAGCGGGGGATGTTGAATCGAAACGAGCACTGCCATTACGCATGCAGCGGGTGGAGATGGATCTCACTGTCGTGGGTGTGTTTATTGGAGAGGAGGATTGGGAGGTGGTCCGTTTGCGGGAGCGGCTACGACAATTGCACGCACCATTGACGTGGCCCCCTTTGCTCGACCACTCCCATGTGACTTCACATCTCATCACCATTACAGTTTCAGCGCGCCCAATGTACCTCGATCGGACTATACAGTCGCGGCCGGAGGTGGTAAAAGCCTTTATGGACTGGGGCAGCTGTCTAGAAGACTGTTTTGAGCAGCTTTTCCCACTTGGGACATGGGAGCGGGACCCTGGCCGGTCTAGGCGCGTCCGTCAGCAACTGCACCTCCCTGCATGACTCGGAGGGTTTGGAATCCGAGCGGCGGCCCCTGTGAGGCCACAGTCATATGTATGTGGGTGGGCGCATGCTGCGCATAACATTGTACTACTGGGGGTAACAAGCGAGGAGGCAGAGTTTCTTGATCCATGGTTTGTCAAGGCTCTTGAGCAGCTAACTTCGACTATATCATGTCGGGTTTACCTTTGTGCGTGGCGGCCCCTCCTCTTCGGCTTTTCCAGGCACACCGGCGGAAGTTGGCTGTAGAGGAGCTACAGTAATTGCGCCACTTGGCTCGTGATGGTGCCACTCTGGCCCGTTTCACATCCCTTCAGGGCTCTGGGGCCGGTGCATTGGTTCCAGCGGTCTTGGATAACTCAGATTTCACATTCACCGTGGCGGAGTGGGGCATTGTTGCTGCTATACGGCTTGGGCTCCCAATTCAGCAGCTTCATGTGGCATGGCGGTGGTTTTGTGGCACGGCGTGTGTTGATCCAGGGGACCTGCTTCATTCTTTAAGATACAAGTACTAGCACGGTCCATCTCGAGTGCACGACGAGGTGAAGTTTGCGATGGTAAGGATCTCTAAGGCGTCAGGAGGGGTGGTCATGATGGAGGATAGTATGGTGCTGCCGAAGAAGAAAGTTGATGTTGCGGTGTGAGGCTTGTGGCCGAACAGGTTCACGCTTTAGAGAATTAGTGCCGCGGGCCCGCTATCATTTTCTCCATCTCTGCTGGACCAGTGCAGGTATTCTATAGTAGTGGCGGCAAGAGAATGGAAGCGTCGCAAGACGGGTGATTACGAACCTCTGCTTGTGCGCAACGGGGGCGTGCAGTTCAGTCTTCTGATAGTAAAGACGTGTTGTTATTCATGTGGATGTTTCGGCGATGGCTTCGACAGCAGGGGGATGTGCACTTGAGATAGCTGTGTCACAGGGGCATGTCAGGAGGATAACACTACATTTTTTTCTTATCTTTTGGGATCTCTGAAGGCACTCATTGGGGTGGCGTTACAACGGGCTCAAGCTCATGTCATCTTGCTCCGTGCGGCGTTTTCTATGGGGGATTAGGACGTTAATTTGGTGGATAGGGAGGGGGACGACGTCGAGATGGAGGGTGGGGCTTTCTGGGTGGAGGCCCCATACACGAAGGATGCACGGATGTGGATGAACAGGGGGGAGGGGAAGAGTGGTGTGCATAATGGCAATTAGGTTTGGAGTGTGATGGCAGGGAGGTACGGAGTTTATTGGAGCATTTGTTGTTATATCAGCGTACGTGGTCTCGTGAGAATCAAAAGCGTACGGAAGGTCCAGGAAAACATAATTACAGGCTCCATCGTAAAAATAGTACCTACGTGTTGGAGGCTAGACATCATAATGGCATGTAAATCTCATAAGACATCATGTAATTACATATTACGAAGAAATGATGATCCTTGGAGATCACGTGAATCTACCTTCTGTCCCATCCCCCACCCCCTTTAGAAGGACCATTAAAAATCCAGCACATACTCTATTTGTTGTGCGCTTTAGTATCTGAATGATGACTATCTACACATTTTTTTGCAAACAACAGCTTTTTTGTACTTATTTGTTTGTTTGTTTTTTTTTCTCCGCAGGTGAAATTTAATATTATAATGCTGAAAAACACCATCCGTCGATCGTAACCTTGCTAGAGGGCCTATGTATAG